ACCATCTTCCGTTTACTTGCTTGTAAAACTGCTGACTGTTAACTTCGCTAAGTGATTCTACTTCCTGTTGTTGCATTTTGTTTGCTCTTTAAATTAGATTTTTGATAAATGTGTTATTACTGCACCATTTACCTAAGATCCACCCATGATAGATCCATGTAGGATACTGATTGGCTGTGGAAAATATTCAAGTATTTTTACTGTTCAAAATGACCTTTTCATATGTAAGCAGACCTGAAAGGCTCCACTTTACTTTATCTTTCTCAGACTTTAGCTCAGTTCTCTTTTCTTTCTTTAGCATCTTCTTTTTTCCTTTTTTTAGTTCCTGCCAGACTGACCGTGAAAGGCAAAAAATGAACAGAGAACTTTACTAAAAGTTTGCCTGACATTAATAGACAGCTTTCATAGCCTAAATGTGGAGACATGAAACCATCTTTGAACTATTTCTTCTTATATGTTTTATTCCACAGAATGAAGGTGAAATGCTTACTTTGCAGTAAATATGAAATTTTAACCAAGTCTGGATTAACAATTTGACTGTTTCAGAAATATGTTTTTTTTTTTTTGTATTTTTTATGTGGTTTGGTCACTCACTGAGAGCTCCATCAACAGAAATGTTTTACATGATGGTAAAAAAAAAAAAAGCTAAATTAAGAGCAGGGCCTGGAACCTGTCCCAGGTATCAAAGATCAATAGGTAACTGGGCTAACAAAGAGAAACAGACAACCACATTCAGAATCAAAAGTTTATCTTAACCCACTAACTTCATGTTTGTGGACTGTCGAGGAACCAAAGTACCCAGACAGGCAAACATGGGGAGAAACCCTTAACAGATTGTTGTTTTGAACCCAGGAACGTCTTGCTGTGAGGCAACAGTGCTAACCACCACACTATGCACTTCCCACTTTATAAAGTCTTCCTCTATAAGCAAAAATACTATATTCAATAATTTACATTAGCCTCATGAATACATTTAGTATTTATGGCCTATTTTAAAGTCCTATTGGATTAATAATACCTTATTAGCATTATTCTGGTGAAGTCGGGCCTATATTAGCAGCGGCCTGTATGAGAACAGCTTATATCAGGCTGTTTTGAAACTGCAGAAGCTCTAAAAATAAAAACGTCCTGCAAGTATTTCAAATGAAAATCTTTAGAGTTTATTGCATAGGTGCCTTTTATTACTGCAGGGGGCTTTTATTATGAAACATGAGCAAATATGGATGACAATAAAACACACGAGGTTGATTGTATTGTTCAATTTCTGAAACTGAAGCACTAGAAATGCACACTATGCTTAGGTGGTGCAGACCTTACACCACCATTGGCACCCGGAGCTTATCTAGCCCTGTACTATGTCTGTGTATGGGGGTCAACCTTTAATGGTTATGAGTAGATGAATCTAATAACACTAGCTAGAGCCTGGTTGTCTGGAGTAATAACAAAGGTATTGATTTAAATGATGGATATAATTACATGTCTTTTGTCATTCAAAGATGTCTTTTTTTACACTACAGATAGTCGCGTTACTGATGAGCAGTTTACATATGTACATGTAGAGTGTTTCCCTTTTTTAAACTGTAATTTTATGTTTTATCAGGTGTATTTTGCTGTCACTTTGTTGTACTGCAATTAATCTCTAACGCTCATCTTTACAGGTCACTGCCTTTTAAGAGTATTTAGTCTTGAAAAAAAAAAACACTATTAAATGATGTCAGTCAAACCTCATGTGTGTCACCATATGTTTGAGTTGTGGCCGGGGTTTTTTTGGTACTGAAAAAGGGAAGTGACGCTGACATAGCAGTAGTGTGTGCACCCAAACACGAGGTGACAAATTTCCACAGTCATGAGATTCCATGTAGCTAAAGTCAATTTGAATTTGCAATACTACGGAAACATAACCTACAATAATACAAAATATAAATGTGATACAATTGAAGATGAAACCATAAAATAAATCCAAGAGAAAAACTAAAAGAAAGAAATGTACCAAACAATAAAGGTTTATAACTTTGATAACAGGAATATTTGGAAGAAAAGTGATGAACGTATTATAACAAGAACATTTTTCATGAAAGTCCTAAGTAGTAAAGTATTTCTGTAGTAAATTTTATGATGTGATGTAAGACAGAGTGGTGATTGGAGCTGACTTTAATGGGCATGTAGATGAAGGTGATGAGGTGCTGGACAGGTGTGTTGTTAAGGAGAGAAACACAGAAAGACAGATTTGCAAAAAGAGCGGGAATGGGTGAAAGGTGAAAGCAGGATTATTATTTATGTATTTATGGTTGTAGGGCTACACGGGAGGGTTGGTGTAATGATGTGCTGTGGCAAAAGCGGAAAAGAAGCAAATACAGGAAGTCAAAGAAGTTCGACTGCTTCTCATGGCCGCTACCATGAGACTACCGACCCTTTTTATTCTTTGCTTTCAAGGTATGTCCTGTGTAAATTATCTGAAGCTATTTATTATCCACAGGTGTGCCAGACCTCAAGATTAAAAAAAAAACAAAAAAACTTTAATTATTTTAAGCTTTTGTTTTAAAAAAGAGTAACGTACTGGTTTCCTTGGGTAGAAGTACAAAACTTGTGGATTGATTGCCTCACATGCTGGACATAAATGCTAACATTTTATCATTTCATTGTTAAATTTATGCCAAGAAAGGTGAGTATAGTAGAATGATATTCTGTTTGTCGTATTAGAAAAAGCAGGAAGTTTAGCTGGTGTATTGACCTAACTGCTGTCACACGGCTTCATTTCAACTCTTCTCAAAACGAGATCATATATCCATATGTTTAGGGTTCACTAACATACATTTCCCATAAAAAGGAAATTGTCGGATGTCTAGACAGATGGAATTACTGGGATTATTAGTTTTTCAATACGACCTGCTTATCATTGAAACTACTTCAAATACTACTCAAAAAGTCACGTGAATGGAGACATCTAGTGTCTTCATGTGTTGATTTAACTGCAAACACCTCCCATATGGAAAAGAAATAGTAAAAACTTATAAACGACTTTCATAAGATGTGGCCTACTTTATTTAGTGAATCATATAAGGCTTATATGATTTACTCATGAAAGTGGCCACTTTCTCATTACTTTCATATATTGTTTTAGTAAGTATCCAAAACATACAAGTTTCATTATATAATTTTTCAATGGATCTTCTTGTATGCTTTTCATACAAGTTTCACACAAGACAGATACAAACTTTATAAGATTTATATATATATCTTTTCCATATGGGCTCTTAAACATCGGAGACTTGTCATTTATTTTACTGTTGCAGATTCCTGTCATCTCAAAATGAAGAACAGCTGTTGATATTTGCCAATTATTTCTGATCAAGATCACCATGTAATTATATGACAGATAGCCATCTTTAGCCATTTGATGATAATATCTTATTTGGAGACGGTTTGAAAGAAAGCAAATAAAAATCTCAGTGCGGTGCAGTTCAAATGTTCAACCTTTTTTTTTTTTAATCAAAGGTCAAATGCAGTCATAGATGTGATTTTCCTTCTTTTTGTTTCTAAACCTGAGAGACAATGTACAGTGTTAATAAATGTGTTAATGTATTTATTCAACAGCAGTACTAGGTGTAAAAACAGCAGAAGTAGGTAAATCACCTCTGGAAGTCTCTGGGTACCTTGGAGAAGACATCACATTACCCTCAGGAGCTGACCCATCATGGAGTCTTATCAAAATTGTGTGGTCAATATTCACCAACAACACTTGGATTGCCACTTATCAACAAAGGGGAATAAACACTGAACGTTTTCCTCAGTACACAGGGAGACTTACTCTTAACACAATATCAGGTAACATTTATGAGCTTTTTACTGCAAAGGAATTATAGTTTTATGTATTCCTTGATTTTGTTTCCATGTATTTTACCCTATAGGTGATCTAACAATTCACAACCTGAAGGAAAATGATGCCATTGAATACACTGTAGACCTCCTCAACAGTGAGGGTGAATTTAAAGGAAATAAGATTAAACTCACAGCAAAACGTAAGTGATGTATTAATAAAACACACTCTCTCTCTCTGTCTCTCTCTCTCTCGATATCTGTCATGGCTACTGGACGGACTCACGCGCAGACAGTTCTTTCTTTGAGAACAAAAGGAGATTTATTTCCAACAGGGATCACCTCAGT